ATCTTCACACCCCCCATTCCGATGCCTTGGTTTAATAATTTCTACCATACATTATATCCTTCTTCCATGTCCCCCTTTCTTATTGGTAAAACTATTTTTTTTTTTTTTTTTCCCCCCCCCCCCCCCCCCCATCTATTTAATGAGCTGGTTGTTCACTAGCTACATACAATCTTCATCACTCTGTGATACCTAAAGAGCCAAGTCCACGGCGCTCCTGGGTAACTGCAGCTTATATCAATCTCATTTGACACCATATGAAGTAAGACAAGGCAGAACTCGGCTGTATCCGTCGGTTAGGCTATTCCCGGTGTCTAGAGCTTGAATTCGCATCGCATTGCATCCGCTGTGCCAGGCGAGTTTACAGCGTGCACGTATTAGATGTGGAAGTTAGACATACAGGTAGGTATGTATGTAATCACAGTTCTGCCTCGAGCTCCGATGCGCTTCCGGCTCGATGGATGATAAGGCATTCCTTTCAACATCTGCCTAGTCCTTATTTACTACCTCATTTGCAAACAAGTGTAGTATGAAATACTTGAATCACGTATTCTAAATTACTAAGCGAATAGAATGAACAAGATCCTCATGCCTAGAACATCATTGCTGCATCTATCCTACTTGATTGATTGCCATCAGGCTCCAGAGCCATGGTTGCAGCACGCTCACTTTACTCTCTGACAGGCCGACCAGCTGGCGAGCCGGTCGCTGAACTCGACGTCGCTCGCATTTGGTGGTAGTATCAAGAAGAAGCAGTTGGAGATCTCGTGCATATGTGATATGTCGGTAGTTGCCTACAATCACCCCCAGATTCAAATTTTCTCTCTCCCTTCTCCCATTGCCCCTCGGTTTCCCATCCAGACTATCTGTCAGCTGCTGCTATTGCTCACCATCGTGTAGTTACATTCATTTATGCTCTCGTGTTGTTCGTGCATTTCACCTACGGAGTGTGTGTGTATGTGTATGTGCGTGTGACGCGCAAGAAAGGAGGACAGACGGTGCGATTCGAAGAGAAAGGAAGCAGAGAGAACGGGAAAGTAGAGAAAAGGGTTGAATCCAGCATGTAGATGCGAGGCTACAGGGAAAAGGGTTCGAGATGTTGTTACCCTCTTACTTACCTTCTTACCTACCTCTTCGATGATAAAAGGAGGAGGTTGGTAAAGTATTGGATCCACACCCCATGGCTCTCTAAAGACTGTATGTTTTAGCTAAGCCACTGCTACCAGTCCTAAAACGAGCAGGGAAGTCATGTCCAGGTTCGACGGTTTTTAGAACTGCCATCCCATCACTTAACTTGGGGCTTTATCATGTCTGGGATCCAGGTTTCATTCTCATTTGTTTGGGGTTGGTTGCTATACTTACGTAGTACGAGCGCTTATAGGATGAAGAAGAGAGCTGCTTGACTAGTTACGTAGCTAATTAGTTCGCTGGTGGGTTTCCCTCATGTAAGTTAATGTATCATGTATCATGCAAACTAGGTCTGTGGGGGCTGCTGTAAGTCCGTTGCAAAGAGAAAAGCTTAAGTCAGGGTGTTAAGGTTACGTAGGTAAGGTGAGGTTACTCAGGTTATACAGGGACTAGGGTTGATCTGGCAGATAAGGTAGGTAACAAGGATGTGTTTCCATCGCATCGATATGCCATATCGAGAAACAATCTAGTTACCCTTGGTGTTTCTTACTGTTGGTTCCTCTGTTTTTTTCTTGTCCCGCAAGGGGCCAAGTCGCCGACGTGTGTTGTGTTACAGGTGCACTTGCGTTAATGTATAGTTCGTATCGGAGGCGAATTCCGAGAAGGAAAATATCTACTGGGATTGCGAATAACCGTGCGCTGCGTTCGTTCGAGGGCAATTGTTGGAGAATGGGAGAAGGAAAAACAAATTATTGCAGCTGTCTACTCTGTACTAAGGCAGTTCTACTGGAGCTGCGGTCGAGAACGCTCCTCGCCCCCACATTCTGTCGTTATGCGCAGAAGCGAACTCGAGGTCAAAGGGTTGATGCGGGAGGGCTGGGTCGAGGGTGACGAAAATTTCGCGGGATTTGGAGTCATGGTACCCATAATGAATGACTGAATGTTTGAACAAGTGACCGAGAAACTGAAAATAGCCTCCTTTTTTCTTAGTCCGTTAGCCTTGGGATGTGGGGTTGTGAAGGTTTCTAGCACGCTTGGCGTGTTCTCAGCTTGATTTTTTCACGATGTCGGGGTTCTAGATCGGGTTAATTGACACCGTTAAGGCACACACTAATGGACTTTTGAGAAATCTTAGGATGCGACTGATAGAGAGACAGCCTTGCTATGGGCGTTTCAGCGGAGTGTCACGCCCACCCCGGGTCGTCATACCTACAGGACACATGCATATGTCTATAGTAAGATGATGGATGTGTGGAGAGCAAAGTCTAGAGCCTCACCACAACACCTCCAGTCTGCCAGTTTCATGAGAAGTTCATTGTTTGTGGCGTTATGTGGTGCGGTTTTGCCGTGGGGGATGATGTAAACTCGCTCGGCTATAGTCCCGAGCCGTCCGATGAGAAAAGACACACACCATCGAGTCCATCATACGCCAGATCGGGCCTTCTGATCGGACGTAGACGGGACAAGGACCAGGCTGCCAAAGCGTAGGTAGGTAATATTTCACGGGGAGTCCCGCGTGCAACGGAGTCGCTGCTAGGGTTGTGCGATAATCGACGATGACTATACTCGGTTACGAGGACGGGAGCGGAAAGACGATCAACGTACCTCGAAACGACGAATCGCGGTATATTCTCCATATTATTTGCCGCACATCCGCAGTTCCCGAGGGATCGGAAGAGAAGACAGCTAGGATAGCTAGGGTAGCTAGTTTGACAGACGGGCAAATTTGCCCGGCCTTGGGTCCATTCCAAGAAATTTTTTGGAGGCGATTAACTTTAGTATATTCATGCATGCAGCACACAGACGTTTGTCTCTGCTTGTCTGCTGCTTCTCTGTGCAGCAAGCAGCAGCAGGAGCAGCATACAGAATGAATTCAATCAATCAGCTCTGCGCATCGAGTATGCGAACTGAAATGCGGCGTCCGGTGGTTTCAGGAACACTGGAGACCCATCTACCGTAACAGCACATGCACTTTTTTCTTTTTTTTCTTTTTTTTTGCTTTTTTTTTTTTTTTGCCCTCTCTCTATAATGATGCACCGAGCTCATGTGGATCTTTTTCGTACGATACCTACTCCGAATCTTTGAAGGATACTTGTCTGCGCAAATCAAACGAATAAACCAAACAATTTCCGGTAACCGGTAACAAATAGATATGGGCATATTCTCGCGAGGGTGTATTATTCGTCGCCCTCAGTGGAGATCGTCTATCCCATCCATTCACTGGCTTCCTTGGTACCTGGGTCGGGAACGGGTTGAAGTGGTATGCTACACGGGAACCCCGACCTCGGATATGCTACCCTATAATCAAACCCCCGATTATCGATATACTCTGCGCAACCCGAGATAATGTTAGAGAAGGCTGCGTACCTGCTTATCTCGGACAAACTATATTACCAAGTAGACCGACCCTATTACAAGCCCCTTCCGTTACCGCTTGGTGGTGCGTAACGGGAATGGTAGGGGAGGGTCTATTACCTAACTTAAGGATAGGCTACTACAGGAAGATCATCGTGAGGACTTAGTCTAGCATCATCGCCTTGACAAATGAGCAAAAAAAAGAAAATTGCACTTTCACCGTGGCATCGTACGATGCGAATATCAACATAAACAGAACCATCCCGAATGTAGTATATTCCCTATACCTCAGCCTGCTTGGGATCGCAGGTTCGGATGCACGGGGTCGATGACTAGCAGCGCCTAGCCTCCGCCCTTCAGCTTCCGATTGTGGGGTTACTGCCGTCATGTGCGGCTTGGGAGGGGAGGCGCTTATTTTCTCCGTCCAAAACATGCGCCTTGAAGGGTGGTCAGACTATCTTAAGCGAAGAGATATGATTAGGCCGTTTCTTGCTGCTGGGTAGGCTAGGTAGGGACGTGAAGAAAAGGGCTCCAACTTACGAAGTTTACTTCTCGGCAAGAGACAAATCGTGCGCATATAGTAGGTAGAGGAAGGGGAGGGGTGCGTACAGACAAATGCTCTTACTTCTTTCTTTCTTTCTTTCTCTTTCGGAGTACTACTTATGTACGAGAATGAGAAATAAACAATACATCGGTTCATTCTTTTGACTAGGTAGGTTGCACGTTCTCTGCCGCGTCATGTCACGGTCTGGAGATACCTATCAGACAGACAGAGAGACACAAACATGCATCTTCGCTGCAGCACATCATCGTGCCTTGCCGTCTGGGCTGGGCTTAGACATGGAATTAGTTCCTTATGCACGCAGACAGCCACAGAGCCCGGATCTAAGTAGGAGAGAGATGATACGGGGACATTTTTATTATTATTTCCTGGTGTTTGAGTGACAAAAGTGGGTGTTGTATCTGCCTAATATGACCCAAGGTGTTCGTCCGGTGGACGGATGAGGAAGTTGGAGGTCAGCTCGAAAGAGGCCTGAACTCCCAGAAAAAGAGTTCGTGATACACATGAATCAAGAAGGGTGGAGCAGGGTGAGTGTACCTAATGGTGTTGCTCTGGGTGTGTGCGCGCGTGAAGTCGCATGCATTTCAAGTACATACTTCGTAGGTGGTGTGGGTGGGGAGGGTATACTTTTCGCGAGTAGGTGTGTAGCCAAAGCCAAGACAGCATAGCGTAGCTTTAAAATATTATTGTTGATTACGTGAGTCGGCCCATTACATGTAAGAGCAGATACTAGTCTAGATAATTACATGTAATTACATGTAGGCGTAAGACAAGAACAGACTAGATGAGACGACGACAAGAATTGTGGCTTTGGGCAAAATTAGCTCGGACGGTATTCAGAGAGAGAAAGAGAGAGAGATTGCCTATCTCTCGGACGGACCGCGGCTATCAGAGTACCTTGGCTTGGAGAAGCGAGCCTGGGGTAACTTTGATTATAATTAAACCCCATGATCGTTTAGATAGGACTCCATAGCTTCAAGATCAAGCAGATAGGCGAGCTGGCAGGGACAGCCCTTGCAGTAACAGAACGACAAGGACAAGATGGAACCTCGGATGAAACGTAATTATAGAGTGCTTTGCAACATCACTGTTATACATATACTGACTGACACTGCGCAGCGTAGCGCCTAGTTAGATTGAACCCACACGTACGGGTAATGAAATCAATGCGCTCTCGCGCTCTACGCTACGGTAAATCGGTAAGGTCCTTTTGCTTCAGCCGTTGACGGAATCCTGATATCATCCGCATGGCATATGGCAAGGCAATCCCTAGATTCCAGGTTGAGTGGGGAAGACAAGAAAGTAGTGTTTGGAAGTCAGTAAGGCGAGTAAGTAGGTAGGCAGGCACCTGGAAGCCTGGGATATACATACCTACTCAGTAAACCAGGACCAAAGGTCACGCCATACCCGTCCAGTTACCTGTTTTATGTCGTCGGTAACAACCCTGAAACTTAGCTGGTATAGGGCCGATATTAATAATGTATAGGACTTGACTAGCAATCAGGGTCTTTCTGTAGAGTTGGTTCATAGCGGTGGCTTGCGGAGTCCAGGATCTTCCTGGTCGTGCGCCGAATTCACCTAACCTCGAGATTCCCCAAAAGGGAGACGCACTAGTCCGAGGCAGTTCGGAAACGGTAAACAGCGGAGACCGTGGGTAAGCTTATTTGGACTGTCTGACTCTGTCTTTGTCCATGCTACGAGTGTGGTGTCGAGTCAGACGGACTATTTAGGCTCGCAAGGCGCCGATCGATAGTTGTTGCGTGACATTTCTAGAGAGAGGGAGACCGCAAGGCTTATTAAGGTGGTTTGGTAGTGAAGGGGAATGAAGGAAGGTTGTGTGTGTGTGTATATGTGTGCGTGAGTGAGTGAGAGAGTGAGACTTGAAAGGTGGTAGTAGTACCAGTCAAGTCCAAAACCGGAACCACCTGACAACCACTACCCCCGCGCTGCTGCAGACTAGATAGCTGTACATGTGAGATCGCCTGCGGCGGAATGGGGAGTTTGGGAAATGGAGGGAAGGGGAGGGGTGTTGCGAACGGGAGAGAAGAGAGCGCGGATTAACGAAGAAAAGACGCCTAGGTACTGTAGATAACTTACTGTACCTACTTACGTACTAGGTAGGCGAGGTAGGTTGGAGACGATGGGGCTCCTTGGCATCTTGGGTTCTGGGTTCTGGTAAGTGCCCATCCTACTAGACGACGCAATTTGTTGTGTATCAATTAGTGCTCTAACCACTCGTCCGTCGAGGCCACCCACCCACTGACATCCCCATCGTTGCAGTATGACGGTGGGCGCATGTCCACTCCGTGGGGTGTGTGATCAGGGCGTTGCGAAGTGATTCGTGAACGCCTTCACTGGTGCCTTGTCTTGACTGGCTGGGACGACTGAGGGGTGGAGGCGGGGAGGTGAGTACTGCTTGTCTAAGGTAGAGAGAGACAGAGGCGACACCGGGGAAACACACTGCGTAGGTTGCATGCATGCGGTATACAACACCGCCCGCAGGTTGGTTGCAGCATGTACGTTTATTGTCTGTTGTGCTCCCCATGGATATCGTACTGATGGGCAAGTAAGATCGCGAGGCACGCTGCCGTATCCGAGGCAGGTCGTCCGACGACTGTGCACTGTCGTTGTGCCGTTCCGCCGCAGCCTCGAGCCCGGGTTGACCTAGTCTCGTAGGAAACCATGCATTGATGAAGCAAGATTCTTGGGGAGTGATGATAGAAAAGCCAGTGCGTCTCTTCAGGTCTGGACGTGCATTGATGCTCGCATGATAGGCACCTATGCATGGGGCGCGGGTAGACGCATGTACGCCAGTCCAGCTGGTGGATGCCAGAGGAGTCTCTGGATCAGACCGTCGGACTAATTCCTTGACTGCAAACTACGATAGCGGAAAAATTAAGCATCGCTCGGACCTGTCACGTCTGGGGAGCACCATGTCATGTTTGAGATAGAGATGTTTTGGGGATATGGATTTGTTGACGGAACTATCTATGGCTATCTAAAGAAGTAACATGGGGAAAAGTATCGAGTAGCTAGTTCGATGCCTCCTCCACCTTCGCTCCCCAAGCAGCCCACGATCTGACCACCGCCCGTTGGCCAATGGCTCGTCAATTTGATATCCCCCAAAGATGACCATTCTCAAAGTTTTATGTTATATCGGTGGTCGCCGTTGTGAAGATAGCGCCGGAAATATTGATGCCACCCGTTGCTGGATGCTGTGCGAACAAAGTAGAAATTAAAAGAAACAAAATTTCGGAGATAACAAAAAACTAAACAAAAAATCTCATCTCGGTCGTCCTCCCATAGCCCCGCGCCTCTTTCGTGTCGTGAGACATTATCTCGTGATGTTTCAATCCAAAGAAACATGAACCCCGCCCTGGAAATATGTATGTAGTGCTATTCATAGCTCTCACTCTGTCTCTCCGGTCTCTGGTGGAGTAGAACCAAATAAGCCCAAGAAAAAATCAAGGAAAGAAAAAACTCCCAAATAGGTATCTGAGACTGAATATGCTGTCTGCACACTGCGTTGACGAGCATCTGTCCTGTGTCCCCAATGCCCCGTGACCCTAGTACAAAGAAATGTGCTGGCTCCGACCTGCCACCACCGTCCCAACCACCGTTTTCGCCATGCTGCTACCCAAATGTACTGCTAAAAAGAAAAAAATGAAGTGAAAATAAAAATGGCCGGAATCGATGGCCCAAGAAATGAAAATCACCAATGTGCCCAAAAATTCAAATGCTTGCTCGCTTGCTATTCTCGACATGGAAATGAGACTGAGATAACAAAGTAGATCAGAATAAGGTTCCAGTTTTGCGTGAGCGGTGGCGGATCTGGTTTGCGCGGGAGCGTCAAGTGTATGCACAGAAGAACCGAAGCAATTAAAGACTAAAAATCGCTGTAAGGAACGAGGTCGTTTTATTTTTTTTGCAATTCATGATCGTCGTGACATGGTCGTAAGTCGTTAGGAGCTTGCATCGTTGCAAACCGATTGGCCACTGTTGGCGCCGTTGCATTCAGCTACCATCTTGGCGAAATTTCGCACAACGTCGCTCGGGATCTGATCCCACAGAAGAGATCTAGTGTACACCTCGGACGCTGATTGCTTCTCGTTGGGACGCATGTTGGCTAGAGCCTCAGCAAGGTTGCGGCGCTTGTGAGTCGTGGGAGGGGGTTGCGGAGCACGGATGAACTCTTGCGAGGTGATTCCATTGTATTGGGCCGGAGTAAGGGAGAAGACTTGCTCGTTGGCTTGTTGTTCAGTTGTCTGTGTGAGAGAGTCGGCAAGATCCCCAAGCATCGACGGAGCTACGCCATCCATCACATGGTTGGCCATGGGTACCGACGTGGAGGTCGCCCATGTAGCACCTGAGGGTTGGGGAGCAGCAGGCTCGATGGCATTGTTGGGCGCATGTGCCACATCGGCATCCTTGAGGATGTTGTTGAGCAGGGTGGCTGAAGCTTCGCGCATGTCTTCCGATACCCGAGGGATGGTCGGAGTCGACCGGTTAGACAAAACAAATGCACCGACGAGGAATAGCATGAACAGGAGGCCGCCTTGAGTGGCTGGCTTCTCGACCTCAGCAGCGAGGGTAATCTCCGGCTTCTTCGGAATAATCTGCAGCTCTTGCTTGACTTCAGGCTCCATGGAGTAATCTTCCATGTAGGTCATGTTCTCCCAAGTGCCATCCATAGCCATGTTGTCCATGTCGTTGAAACCGTTGCCAAACCCATTGTTGCCGGGTATAGCAGCATGTTCAAGTCGTTGGACGTGATCTGTTAGGATGTTGACCTTCTTGCGGAGATCCCCGGTCTCGATGGTGTGTCTCTGAACCATTTCCTCCTTCTCCAGGCGCATGTCCTCAATGTGATTCTGCAGAAATTCCTTTTCGCGAAGGAGCTGAGCCAGCTTGCCGTTAAGATCTGCAAGATCTTCTTCGAGAGACGAGATGACGCCGGTGAACTGCTTCTTCTCTTCTTCAAGTCGCTCCGTATGTTGCTTTTTCCTCTGCCTAGAGTCGAGAGCAGCTTGCCGGTTGCGCAGAAGTCGCTTTTGCTGCTTGAGCTCCTTGATCTCCTGATCGTCTGTTGACTGCGAAATCAATGTGTCGATGTTATCAAGGTTGCGCTCGGCGGGGATGTCAAAACGAGCATTCTTCTTGCGAATACCGTCGCCACGACGCATCTCGTTGTGTGACCGGATGGCAGAGCTGTCAACTTGGGACCGTTTCAAAGCCTGGGCCTTGAAGTCGGTGCTCATCCAATCCTTCTGGGGAGAAGTGGGCATGGAAGAATTGCTGGGGCCGACTGCAGAGAACAATGGAACATGGCCGGTGGGGTTGCTGAATGGGGTCTGCATCGGCAGAGGTCGCTGAAAGATGGATGCACCACCGTCATATGTCGCCTCAAGCCCGTCGTACTGCACAGGGGTGCAGGTCCCAGATCCGTGACCCATAGACCAAGTCTGACTCTGAGAGCCAAAGGCAGCATGTGGCGGATCGGGCCGTGTGAAGGGGTTGTTGTTTTGGGGCTCCAGGAAAGGGTTGTTTGACGGTACGGACTGCATGTCCACCGAGTGCCAATCCTCAGTCTTGGGGGAGAACAAGGCGCCTGCAACTGCGAAAGAATCCCTGCGGCTGTCGCCCATGGGGGGCGACATCTCTAAGCCCGAGTCGATGGTGCTGTGGTCCAGAATGCCCTCGTCTAGTATGCCGGCGTCATCCTCGTCGAAGAACTTCTGTGCCTGGCTTGTGTCGACGGTTAAGGGATTCGGCCGGTAGTAGGCCTGCATCTGCTGGTATGTGGAACCCATTGCGGGAAATTGTGAAATTGAGATTGTGACAAAAGAACTGTTTGTATGACGAAGGGATGTCTGCGAAGAGGTGGGCGTTTAGCTCTGTAGGGTAACGTCGTGTTAGTGTACAGAGAAGCCAGGCCGAGTGTGAGTGTTTGTGTATGTGCGTGAGCGTATGTGTGTATGTGTATGTATGTAAAGACTACTACAGCGCCGGCGAGAACGAGGGTGGCGACGAGAAATAATGCAAAGCCTTTCTTTATTACACAGAGCTGAGATGTGTCTGGTCTGGCTCTGGGGGGACCTCAAGCTCCAAGACAGCGAGGGACGAGGAGGGTGTAGGTGGATATGATGCTATGAAGAAGACAATGGGGGGGGGGAGAAGGGCAGATGGGAGGGGGGTCGAGGCAGTATATAATAATAATAATAATATGTAGTGTCAAGCGAGCGAGATAAAAAGTGACCGGGTATTGAGTGCACAGAGTGCGTACCTCGTTAGAGGGAGAGGGTGAGAGAGAGTGTGTGAAGTGCGGTACGGCAGGTAGTATCGGCCTGTCAGTGGGTTCAAGGATGTGTGGTGGTGCTTGGTGGGCTGCTGGGATTTGGGATGGGGATGGGATGGGATGGGAGTGGGGACCGACCGTCCGTACAAGCGTGCGGGAGAGCCGGGTGCTGTCTCTTTTTTTCTCTTTTGGGTTACAGAGAGGGGAGGGAAGGGAAGGAAAGGAAGTGCGAACCAACTAAGTAAGCAAGTCACTGGTCTGGTCTTGTTCGACTTACACTCTCTTCTTCCTGTTTGCTTCATATATGTATATGAGTCTAAATGAGGGGAAAAGAAAAACTCGACTGTGTGCGAGGATGCCGTCCGTTTATCTATGCAAAGAAAACCGAGCGCGCGAAGAATGATAATAGGACAATCAATATGACAATAAATCGAGAATGGCGCTGCTGACGGCCAAAAGGAGAATATAATCAACAAGAGAAATAAGGCAGATTCGAAGCCGTCGTAGGACTTGGAAACCACAACAGGATGCCGAGATCGCGTACAATCTCGAGCAATATCAACAATGGAGATGTATGTTTGTTACCATGAAGTCGGGGGCGCCTTGGGACTGGGGGGGACGAGGACGGCCGTGTACTTAAAGAACAAGCACCAGGTTGGGTCTCTGCATCTCTGCATGACTCCCACGGCTCTGCACACAGCTCTGCCCACAGCTCCCTGGGGCAGCGGTATACAGCGACGGGGAATTTTCGAAGGGCATACATAGCATGGTATGGCAGTGGAGCCCACGAAGCCCATGAGACCCCCGGCTGACGAACAGGAACTGACCTGATGGTGTGAGGACCTGTGTTGACGGCCGTCTACGGGGGTGTGTGCTTGGAGCAGCGACATGGAAGCTGTTCCGGTCGATTGTGACCCCCAGCCAAGACTCTTAGGCCGTTACCAGATCCCCACCGTCTGGATAACTGTCACCAAGACGAAAAGTAGGTGAAGCGTAGAGGACTGGGACTGGCACTGGGGAAATAATACAAGAGTGAAGAAAGAAATGTCCAAATGGGGCAGTCTCTGGCGGTTCGGTATTGGACGGATCCGGGTTTTGGCCTGGAACTGAGCCTGACTAGGCAATGCTTGCTTGTTTAATAGCATCATTTTCCCCATCTCCATGCACTCAGTACTACCGGTAAGTGAGTTAGTAAGTAGTAGTTAGTTAACCCGGAGATTTATCACTCATTGTCGTCGTTGTCGTCGTTGTCGCCGTCGCCCCCTTCGCTCAGTACCTATCAACTGTCGACATATAGAGAAGCCTAGAATAGATCTACACATAGACTCAATCAAGCGAGGAAAAGCCGAGCAAATGGGTTGGCTATGGCGACTCCGATTGATTGTGTGGTTATCACGGGATGGTCAAGCTCAAGAGTTAGGCTGGTTTACGGGATGGGTAGTTGGTTGATTGGCTGAATTGTACGTATTCGAGCCCTGGATTTACGGTATGGCCGGGTAGAGTAGAACAACGCCGTCGTGGAATCTACACCCCACCCGTCTGGGCAATACAACTGGCTCACGGAGGCGGGAGATAACGTGATCACGACCCGTGAAAGGCCAGTTTCGTGCCTCCCAAAAACGGTGGCATGGCGATGGCGATGGCAATGGTGATGGTGATGGATTCCGTTAATGGCTGCCGGTAAGCGATTCGCAGCTGTTGCACCCAACCAACGATCGATCGAGGTACCTCTGTCATACTACACGGCACTACGGATACCCAGGTACTAACAGACAGGCGCACTCCACGCTACTGTAAAGTGGGTGCAGATTGGGCATCGACGGTCCGGCCTTGGGTGCGAATTGCTACCTAACCGCTGTTCCTCGAAGCCATGCGCTGCACACCAAGGCGTCTGTGACACTGGAAGGTCTCTTGCGCTTCCTATTGCTCAGCGCGCTGGTGGGGGTGCTACTATAGCCATCACTGCTAGGTACTGGCCATGAGGTCCTGTTACACTTACGATACGGCTCTATCTAGATGAGTCCAACGCTCGAGACTATCATGCTAGTCTCATGCGCCGCCGACCATTGAGGCATCGCTATCAGCCCGGCGGCGACGTTACTGGCAGGGAAGAGCAGATCAAACCTTTGGTCTGCGACTGGTGATGTGATGGGAACCGCGAGACGACGATGCGCTCCCTTGGTTGAACGCAACGAGATGCAATGTTTGTGCCAGAATGTGGCTGAAGGCTGCTTCTCGCGTGGAGAAGCCTCCGGTGTGTATTTCGCCTTTCTCGGAACGACTTCGATCGACGAAGGACAGACGATGCTTTTCACCAGTCACATGACTCTGCCAGTCCGTGATCCAGACGTAAAGGGAAATACACGTCCAGTGATTTGGGAGTTGTCGCCTGTGAAACTTAGCTAGAGCACAATTGCATCACCGAGCCACCCCCCGGTCTGTCCGGGGTTGAGGTCTCCGGTAGACATTCTGCCTTGTTTCGTTTCAGTCCAGATGAGCCGCCGCGCAGTTGCGTTAACCAGTCTGCGTTGCTTGAGCCAAATACGTACATAATAGCCGCGAATCGAGCAACACTCGCCACGATCGCCTCGCTTATCACTTATTGTACCGTTATTATTCATGGAGACATGTCCTACCCACTGTGCAAGGACTTTGAGGTTTTGATATCCCGGCTTGTACGGGAACACGGGAATGTCATTCGTTAAATCGAGGCTAGACAAGGAGCCCGGAGTCGATCTCCCTTCCACCCATGCTTGTTATTTTCCAAGATACTATCGCACGCACTTACATACATGTTTCAGCATCATGATACCGCTATCTTGTAACTCGGAATGAAGGAGCTCGGCGGGCATATTATGTCTAGTATTTGAAATGATGGGACGATGTAAACCGACTGCCAGACCCTCGACTCCACCTGGATTCCTTTGCATGTAAAAATACCGTTGCGGTGAAGTTGTATCTAATTAAAGTACGGGAGACACCGGGTGGCAAGGATGAGCACGGGGCACATGTACGGCGAAGTTCCATAGGATTTCCATCCGCGTTCTAACAGTAACCAGGGATATGATCAGAGTACCTTTTGTAATACTTGCAGCAGACTCGTGAGCTGGCGAGGGCATCAAAGAAAAGTGATGCCGAGTCCTTCTTGTAAGTTAGGTATCCATATGGGCTGACGGTATTGTAAGCCGGTTTTCAGGGCTTGCCAAGGTCAGCTAGAACTTCAAGCGGGTGCTGTGTACATTGAAATTTGTCGCTCTAGTTTCGCCGAGGTGTCTCGATAGGCGCTTGAGAAGGCTATTTAGCCCCTCTGAAAAAAATAAAGCTCTTACCGTTTTCATATTACCCTCATTGATACTACTTTTGCGTACTAGAAACGGCAGGTAACCTGGCAGCATGAACATCTGAGGGCCACATGGTCGCGTCTAGTATCCATGTAAGTTGCTCATCAAAACATCGCATCCTCTACCGAGCATCGAGTCGGCAGAGAAGTGAACGACGCTCAGAGTTTCTGATACATCTAGGGTGAGGACTGGCCTGTTTTCCTGACCAACATCAATATTTACCGGAGGTTGGTGAAGATCCTTGTCAGAATGATTGGCTGCTGTTGATGCTTCGGAAGAGGCGCGCGTTCAGCATCCCTCACTGAAATCTAGCTGCAAATGCCTGAGCCCACATTGCTATCGAACTCTGAGGGTGCTCTATCGTTCGTTGTGGCTAAACGCTCAGCGTTGGGAGGCGCATAGGCGAAACGCACAGCGAATTCGTGAACGAGCAGAGTTCGCCCCGGCGAGACGATTGGGTAATAAGCTTATAATCAATTCTCCATGGTCTCTAAACTAAACTACCCTTGGCGCGACGAAACGTTGCTCTCGGCTGTTGTTGAGTTGTGAGGTTACGATATCATCATCAAAACAACCAAACAAGCCGAGGTAAAAGCCGTGGGCTCGTGTGAGGGCGCAACCGTCAATTCAATTGTACGTGACGCGCGCGGTGTTGACCAAGTTTGGGGGCATGATCATATGCTCACCGGCGATTGTCGATGCACCAGGCTGCTCCTTCACCGAGTTAGGCATACGATAGCTCTGCCTACATATATACATGCGAATAACATTCAACGCTGCGACGAGCGTGTGGGACGGATGAGCTGCGAGTGGACCCTTGTCCGCGTTGGGAATCGTTAGGCACGAACTATACGGTAAAATGTGATCACACGGCCGCATAAAAACGTGGCCAGGTCCTACTATGTACGAGACGGGATGCAATCGGATTCTCCCATTGTAGCGCGATCTCATTTGATAGCCCAAGAGGGAAGACGCCTTCTCTCTAGGTTGTCACTATCCCGTTTCTGGCGCACTTCACAATGTCTCCAAGCTGGCAAGTACCACACATGGGTTAGTTGGAGTCTTTTAGTGCAGTGTATCGAGATGCAACCAGCGGTGAGGAGGTCTATATGTAGGTACTTAAAATCTCCTCAACTGACCTAAAGTTCAGTTATGTACTCCTCTTACGTTACGGTTGTTACAGACCTACCCAGCCGAGGCACGCTTGCGATCCTCCTACATGAATAAACAGAATATTTCTCATGGAACGATATTGGCGTATGGATGGGCTGGCGATCGTGTGTTGACCCAGCTTGTTTTGCGGTCCTGCTGCAGTGCAGGCTCACTTTCCAGATAAATGATAAAACTCTTTCGTATGACTGACTTGATCCCCTGTTAACGGTTTCTTGCAGACCTAGCGTGCCAGTATGGTACTTTCGAACCCACTTGCCACCTTGTGCAGTCGAATGCGAGGATATTTCCCGGCATATGCTTGCTGCATGAATGTAACTATTGAATGTTGTATCTCTTTAATTGTGATATCTGAGTTATGGCATGCCTCTTTGCTATCATCGGCCTTTCAAAGCAGGTCTGAATTCGTGTTGGCACTTATTTCTGTTGATTCAACGCAGCCTCAGTTAAGGATTGGCGGTGTAGCACTAATAGATCGGAAGTTTATTCCGGCTTGCATTCTACGCAAAAGCTTCCAATTTAGTCATTGTTCCTGTCGCGTCTTGACCACTCATGAAAAGTAGCCGGGGTATCTGAAACGGAACTGGTGCCCAACTCGAAATCCTATGATATCTTCTGATATCCAGTAGTGTCCTCCACCTTGTCCTACGTAGCTCGGGGTGGAGCCTAAGGTTTGTGTCAAGCTACCTACGGGAACGTGGAGTGGCAATTTTGCTAGTATTTGTTAACGCATATCTTGCGTGGCGGTGTAGAGGCTGATGGCACACCGTATCAGCGTTGAAGAAGCTGTTGGTAAGCCCAGATTGGTATAGAGCCCGACTATCCAAGCCGTTGCTACAGGAATAGTATATGCTACTCATACCAAGGCAAGACTAGCCTGATGGTGCGTGTTGTCTGTAAACTTCATCTTGTGGGGGGAATGTTGGAAGATGTGATGTAGTATGGCCCAATTGGTTACTCTGGTATCTTTGACTCATAATCCTCTGCGATCGGAGGTCCTGAGACCCTCTCTTCATATCCCGCGGCTGCTTACTGGCTAGTTAGGTCCTATCGGCCGGTTGAGGTTACTCAAATTCCCAAAGCTTGACTAGGAGGTTATCCTCGAAGCCGGAAGCGGGCTCATTTGGCAGGAAAACCCGCTTAGGAATCATAAATTCAATGGCGGGCGGTTTTTTGACTGATTTTGACAGCTCAGCATCGACGAGCTGTAACATCATTAGTAATGTTCCTCAACCTGGAGTAAAATCGGGTTGGCTTACGCTCTGGTACGAATGGTCTAGAAAGTCTTCCATATTGTACAACTGTTTCGTGAACTGCTCCGATATTATTGTAGCGATTGTAGCGACGTTGGGATGATAATGTGACTGAAGCTGTACAACCTCCCACAAGCAGCTATCAATAGCTTGCGTCTGCATTGGATCCATTTCTTCCTCGTTGAAGGGGTCTTTGAATCCTTCACTTTCGATAGCGGCTTTGGATTCTGGGGTCCGTGGGACACGATGAATCATGAACGTGCACAAAGGGTGCTTCTTCAACAGGTTGTAGATCCAGGGAATTATTGCTACAATGGCCGACGGCGGAGCATTAAGACACAGTCGAGCCAATTTCTTAATAAATGATGCCACGAGCATAGCAGGAAGATGAGTTGAGGCCAGGAATGTGTCAAGTAGCCGTAGGAACCTTGACCGATGCTTGGAATGTAGAATATCGGCATCGAGCAAGGAATACAATTTGGGGTAAAATGAAGGGTAGTCTAAGTTGCGATTTTGTATAAGAAAAAAAACACCTGAGAGCGCAAGTAGTGACAACGACCCTCCGGCATTGTAAGAATCAGTCAAAAAGTCCATCAATAGTGCCGGTTCAACGAACCAAGGGGCTATTGACTCTGCCATAATTTCGAGCAACTGTTTTCTCTGTTGACGATCGGGGTTAAGCCTTAGGAGTGCAACCCACGCTGACTGACATTGCTTCTTTTGCTGATATAGTGACAGAATAATCTGAGATTTCTTTTTGGGAAGATCGATGTAGAGGGAACCCAGGTCTTCAGCACTACTCGGAGCTTCGTCAAAGTAAGAAAGCATATCAAATACGCTACTGAATAAATCTTTCTCAATCGGTGGATTACTGCAATTTGCAAGTATTTCACTGTGAGGAGTTAGCAGAACTTCCAGATCTACAGTACGGATGTGAGGGAGCCTTACGTCAATGCCTCGAAAGTATAGAAGCGAACATCAGCATATTCACCCAGGTACTTCTCACAGAATTCCTCCTGAACATCTTCACACCGTTTGCGGACTAGTGCACCAACAATATCCCTAAGAAATACCTTCGGAAATGTGGCCTCGCCTCTTTCACTAGTAATGTGAGTCTCAGCCTTGAGGAGACGCATGGATATTGTAAGGGCAGTTGACGCCGTGGCCTCTTCGCTTAGGGCAGCAATGAGAAGCTTCTTGTAATCACTGAGCCTCCCTTTGAGCCATTGGATAACGACACCCTCTCTGTCCGACTGGCCGGGCTTGCGCGACAAGCTCCCAGAAGCCAGCAGCCTCAAGAATACCCTGCATAGGGAAACCGCGGCGAACAGCGCAACGTCGAGATCATCCTCTTGGTTCGAAACGAATTCGAGGAGCGTGGTAATGTTATTATAATTCTTTTTGGATTGAGCAATCTCTTCTTCTAGTTGTAAGATTTCGGCTTGGCGATCTTCTGCTTCGTCTTCTTCGTCACTGACTTCTGGTTTCGTTCGCTTGCTGGCCTTTTCAGATGCCTTAGCACGTTTCCTTTTCAAGGACGTTTTGTCTGCGACACTGGGCATTTTGATAGCCAAGTATCATAGGAATGGGGTACTGGTAGTGATTCGGAATGTGGTGCTGCACTTTGGTGGTTCTACTAGTAGTCAGGAATTAACCAAGAAAAAAAAAAGTTGTAGCCTCGAGCGATTGGCGACAAGGCTGGGATGCGCCTATGGTTCAACCGGGCTAGGTGAGTTTAGGCACTGCTAGCAGCAGCGAAGACCCTCTAACAAGCATTTCTGCGAGCTCTGGCCCACAAATCACGTGCGTCTTCGGCCAATGGGAGCTGCCGATTGGAGCTGCCTTCAAGCCGAATAAAACCTCATTCTTAGTATCCGAGAAAGCTCCATGCAGACTGTCATTTGCTCTCGGTAAGCAAATTCACATCCATCCGAGACCTTGTCGCCGCCCCGTCGTCTATCTCCTCACAATGTCCGCCCGTCTGGTCACACGCGCCCTGGGTAAGTACGGATATTCGCTTCCTGACCTCTGTGCCTCAATTGGCCATTGCTTCGTGGCCTTGCCCGCTCACATGTCTTGGCCGCACAGGTGCCGCCCGCGTTCGCCCGACCGTCAACCCGCGCGCTGCTCTCCCGGCTGTCACCTCGTCATTGACCACCTCGCGCTCGTCTTCGAACGTACCAGAGCCTAAGGTGAAGGCCCAGTCTCTCGTTGACTCGCTGCCTGGCAACTCGCTCATTTCCAAAACCGCCATTCTCTCCTCCGCTGCCGGTCTCTCCGTCTACGCTATCAGCAGCGAGTATTATGTTGTAAACGAGGAAACCGTTGTCGCCTTCTGCTTGCTCAGCGTTTGGGGTGCTTTGATCAAGTTTGGTGGCCCGATGTACAAGGAGTGGGCGCAGGCCCAGAACGAGAAGATAAAGGGAATCTTGAATGCCGCCCGCGATGATCACACCCAGGCTGTGAAGAACCGAATCGACAACGTTCAACAGATGGGCGGAGTCATTGACGTCACCAAGGCTCTTTTCGAGGTTTCTAAGGTAAAGGGGAAACTTTTGGAGTGTAATCGTTGGGGGCAGTAGGCTGACGAGCATTGTGTAGGAAACCGCTCAACTTGAGGCTAAGGCTTACGAGCTTGAGCAGACCACCGCATTGGCCGCCGAGGCCAAGGCTGTTTTGGACTCGTGGGTGCGATACGAGAGCCAGGTCAAGCAACGTCAACAGAAGGAATTGGCCGAGAGCGTTATTGCTAAGGTTAGAAAGGAGCTCGAGAACCCCAAGATTCTCCAACAGATCCTACAACAGAGCGTTACTGATGTGGAGAGTGAGTATCTCCTTACGCGCCCCTGCTCTTGAAAATATCAGGTGCTAACATCAAGGCAGGAATCGTTTCGTCCAAGGCTCAATAGACTTTGAATAATTAAGATACTCCCGAACGCAACAAGACATTTCCTTTGTCTCCTCAACACGTGTTTATAGAACACCCTGTGCATTAGTCAAGAGAAAGATTTAACGTCATGCAAGCCAGTTTTCACTACAATAGCTGGGATGATTGTTATTGTTGTAGAATGTGTACATTAGAGAGTCGTATCTCGTAAAGTGGCCTCTTCTGCCCGTGGCCACGACATAACGCAGTTTGAAGATTTCTATAGTGTATAGGTTTACCTACCATATCTATTCCGATGGAATCCACTTTTACTGGCTCGTACATCTGAATCAATACAATATCTGTTTTACAGTGAGACAGCTGGTCCCTTTGATGGACAATCAATTCAAAAATAAATAGTCAAGGCTTCCATCCGCCTTCGTTATCCCACTTCTCCAGGAGACCAACATTCCAATCTTTGAACCTGCGATCGCTTACTGGAACGAAGTAGTTGCTCTTCTGTAGTAAATCAACTAGAATAGCGATTGCTTCAGAGGGTAGAGATATGTCCTGGACACCCAAAGTCATAGACTCTATCATTTTATCTGCCTCCTCCTGACTGACGGTTCGATAAAATACCTTCATGGCGTTGATAGGAGATGCAGGTGCTTCAGTTGACGAAAATATGAAGTTGGCATTAAATACCCATATATTGAGTAAATCTTTTCCCTGGTTGCCATCTTTCGACTCCGGGCTGCGTAGCATGCCATTTGATTGGTGTTTGCTTGGGAGAAGGATGGATTGAGAGCATCCTGACCGAGCCATAGTTGCTATGAGCATCGCGCTCACGCATTGGGCTAAGCTCGGAAATGATTCTGGCATTTTCTGCTCTTGTAATTGGACGACGACTTGCCATTTGAATATTGATACCGATGATACGTCGTTATTTTGCACGCCTAGTTGTGTCTGGCATGAGCCACAGTGTAAGGTCATAATTCCTTGGGCTTGGTTGCTTGCTTCGGTGGAATCTATTGAAGGCGAGGTCTAATACATTGCATCAGTGGTTTAGGTATGGGAGGTATTTTACCATGTGAGCTATGACAACGCTAGTTTGGAAGACAATTGGCATTTAAACGTCGACCACATATATATACATGTACCTCTGTATAATCCCAAGACTTCCACGTCCAAGAAAAACTCTCGGTGAAAGACAGAGGCGCTTCCAGGTATGCTGGTGTCGGTCCCTGAGTCTTTGAACCCAGGGTCCAACAAACCAGGCACAATAGTTGGAAGTAGAAAGTATTCTATCTAGGGTATGAGTATCGGTGGCCAGCCCACTGAAAAGCAAGAAGCTGGCTCTGGTCACCTTCTATATACCCAGGACAATAATTCAACGATTTCGGGATAATACAAGATAACGCAATTAGAGAGAGAAACTCACCAGGGAAGTTACTAAGTCCGACTTTGCCAGAAGAAATGATGTTAAATCGACAAAACCTACGCCAGGCTGGGCTGTAATGCGTGAACTTGCCCCATAGCCACGAGTGGTCAAGTGCTCCTCGTCTTTATCATGTGTGTGGCTGTGGGGTTTATGGCAGTGCCAGAACTCCATCATCTCTGCCCAATTCTCGCTTGGCAGGTCTTTCCATACCTTGAGGGTGCCGACGTCCACAATGGTTGACTGGCAGGTTCTGCAGACCACTTCTGAACCCGGTTTAAGATCTAAAGCGGACCATGGTGCCGATTCCTCTGATAATGCCGGCATACGCCCGGTCGGCGTCGCAGCAAGCGGTAACCTCCATGACAGGCTAGTGCTTCCTGACTCCCTGACAGGCAGTTGTGTAAAGGGAGCTACAATCCTGGGTAGCTTTATGGTCTCACTGAATCCGTCATGGGTGACGGTAAGAGCTCGACCACTCGCAGACACCGTCGATGTTGTAGCTGAAGAGGCTGGTGTTGGCAGGGTGCAACCAATGGATATTTGGCGGAGATGAGATAGAAGCTCAGCATAAATGAGAATGTGATGTGAGAGCGACATGGTGAGTGATGGAGAGAAAGGTCCACGAGTGCGATCTAATCTCAATAACCCAATATGCATTGCACCACTTAGTTCTAGCTGTCTTTTAATGATACCCCCGCTTAATGCATGTGTATTCTATTCCCCTCAAGAGATCTCCTCTCTATTTCCAATCTTGTTACGTCACAGCCTGGGACCTGCTCTCCTCAACTACGGTATTGTTCGATCAAGGGCATCAGGGAACGAAGCATATCATGGCTTCAATACTATCATACGTGCCGGTTGTTAACCGGCTCCTCAATACAAAAGACGCGTCGCGCTCTATTGAGATCCCGCCTGTCGAGATTCACAATGTGGAGACAGCCCCTGAAAAGCGGCCAAGGACTCTAAAGCATCTTCTCAGAGCAAACCACATTAACCATGCCATCCTTTTCAATGACATGCGCTTTCACAATCACTTGCCGCATATTCTATGCTCGGCGTATCTCCTCGGTGCATCCGATACACAGATGCACCATGTATACGCTGAAGAAGCCAAAACACTAGAGCCCTGGGAACCGTCGCCTGCCGAGGTCACCCAGGAGGACTGGCAGTCCTTTTGGGGGGACAAGCGGTATCAACGTGCCTTTATTGATTTTTTCGAAGACTCTCTAGTAATGAGACACAATTATAATTGGAAAAAGTTGGTAGACGAATACTTGTACGATGGCAAAGAACCACTACTCAATTGTCTCATTGGTGGTCGTACGTTTCTCCGCTGGGCTTGAAGATTATATATTTCTACTGACCCTTGCAGTTGGGCATCCCCTTATCCACCTTGGCTATGCCTATGAGATGGACAATAAGGAGGTTGCAATAGAGGCTCTAGGGCTAGCTTCAACAGAGTACGATTTCCTCCACAAGTACTTGGACGATCCATCGTACACGAAGCCGTCGCCGCTCAAAACCTCGAACATATTAGACTTGCTCACACAGATGGCCAGCGACAAGCGAGTACCAGAGCTGTTTCAAGAGCCTGGTTTCCAAAACTTCGAGCCCCTCTTCAAGGATCACGAGGAGCTAGTCATGGAGTATTGGAATGCGTGGTCTCTTGATGACCCGACAAAGCAATTCCAAGAGTCGCAAAAGGCAGCAGTATCCCTTCTTGTGGCGACTGTTCCCCCAGGAACTCACTCCTACAATTTCGTCGTCGTTCATCTACTCACAACAAGCCACGCAGTGCGGATTCTTCTTCCCATGATTCCCTCCAAATATCACATCAACCTGGTACGACAATGGTGGCTACTGACGATTGCAGTCTACCTCATCTTCGAGTGTCCCAAGATCGATCCTGACAATATTAAGCCTACTGACGTAGCTGGGAAGCAATGGAATTATGTCGAGGATAAGGCACTCAACAGTGCTTACTCGACAGACGCCCACTTTGTCAAAGGTCTGCTGGCATATGCTCATTACATGGAGTTCAAGCTAACTGTGTTTAGCTATACGTGCAATTAAAGAAGCTGCAAAGACATGGGGTGATGTGCATGAGCACTATCTAGCGGCGGCGGTTAGGTTTGTTGATGATTTTGAAGGATGGGTATTCTAGTATTACTCTTTATGCCGACTGTGCGTCGACGTTCTGATTAAAACGGTAGCACTGTGATCTGTCCATGTTCATCATCCTTAAGTAGTTTTATTTTTCTAGTTATTTCCTCCTCTCTCTGCTCCATTCTGGAGGCGGAAACCAATAAGAATGCGAAGGATACTGGCAGGCTGACATGATATCAAACACGATCTCTGAATATGACCAATTCTGCTCTGAAACTCCATGCAAGTGGCTTAAGTGAAAATTAAAAGAGGCGCTTAGTTTTCGTGATCAAAATACCTGGCGTCTGACCTGGCATTACTTGGGTGGGCGGTAATTGAGATCAAAGACTGGGCACCTAAGCAGTCACCTGATACCGCGCATTCAGCGTAGTTATAGTGGACGAGACGCGTAACATACCTCCTAGCACCACTAATGCCCCTCCACCAGCCCTGTTAACCTCAGTCAGCTCATTAACTAACAATGTCCGTAAAGCCCATCTTGAACTTCCTAATCCCTGTATTACCACCAGCAGCGCATTTATCCTGTATTCATGGCGTGTCCCTAATAAATAATTAATATGCAATTGTGTAATTGTATTATAAATTAAGCCTGGAAGGCTCTGACAGATGCCATTTCAGACATCACACGCAACATGGCGCCGCCTGCGAAGCGCCTGAAGCGAAACATCGTGACCTCCGACGATGAAGATCCAAAACCCGTCGTCAACACTCTAAACAATTACCTCCTCCGCTCTCCGGATGCGAAAGCAAGCGCGACAGCTCCGCCTGAAAATGCTACCGCCTCTCCCAGTCCCACCCGAAAAGTTACTCGTCTAGTCACCCGCCAATCTTCTAAGCCCACCCCATCCTTGTCCATCAACGGATCGAGTGCGAGGAGTGGGAAGAAAAGCACGAGCACAAGTCCAGAAAAAAGCAGGGCCAGACCGCCGACCCAGAGCAAATCCGACGAGAAAGGAAAGACAGCCGACCTCAAGGCCTTGTTCTCCAAGCAAGCTGAAAGGGCTGCAACACGACCGCCAGTAAAGCTAGATGATATAATAAGCGACCCAATTTCCGACGAGGACGATGTGGGAGAACACAGGGCGACAACGGCTAGCCACGTCGGTCTGGCTTCTCGGAAGCGCTTTAAGGATTCTTTCGCTGGCAATACCATAACATCTTCATCAATCGCCTCAAGTCAGAGGTTTATACGGCCGACTTTGCCCCCACAAGATCCAGAAATAGATAACGAGCAGCGGCCATGGTCCAAAAGATTTGGTCCCATGAACCTCAGTGAGCTTGCTGTTCACACGAAGAAGGTTGCGGATGTTCGGAAATGGCTTGAAGATGTCATGGCTGGTCGAATGCGACAGCGGTTACTTATTCTTAAGGGGGCAGCTGGAACTGGGAAAACCACCACATTGCGACTTATTGCCAAGGAGATGCGATGTGAAGTTCTTGAATGGCGAAACCCGACAACTTCAAGTAGGGCTCACCAGGAGTTTCAGTCTGTTTCTGTTCAGTTTGAAGAGTTCCTGGGAAGAGGAGGCAAGTTCTCGCAGCTGGACCTCGACCTAGAAGACTCGTCTCCTAAAAACATCGGAACCAACGACAATACCCCGAAACTGATGCTTATTGAAGAGTTTCCTAATACATTTGCTCGCTCATCCACAGCTATGACATCCTTCCGGAAGGCTATCCTACAGTTTTTGGCAACTAATACTCCATCACTTTCTGTCTTCGGAAGGCAAGCATCTAAAGATCCCATTACACCAGTTGTTATGATCATATCCGAGACCCTTTTGACAACCACGTCTGCATCTGCGGATAGTTTCACCGCCCATCGTTTGCTCGGTCCTGAAATCACTCGTCATCCGGGAACATACACCATAGAGTTTAATTCCATAGCGCCAACTCTTCTTTCCGCTGCTCTTGGGCTTGTTGTGCAGAAAGAAGCAAGAAAATCCGGCAGGAGACGGACTCCAGGACCTCTCGTGCTGAAAAAACTAGGCGAAATCGGCGATATTAGAAGCGCTATCTCTTCACTTCAATTTCTTTGCTTGAAAGGAGACACAGAGGCAGATTGGGGTTCGCATGTTAACTTTGGAAAACCAAAGCGGACAACTAAAAGCTCCGTCTCCTTGACACGAGGAGAAATGGAAACGCTCCAGCTTGTTTCACAGCGGGAGGCAAGTCTAGGTATATTCCACGCAATTGGAAAAGTTGTGTACAATAAACGAGGAGACGAACCAATGGACCTGAACTCTGCAGAAGGGAGAGCTGAACTACTACCTAGTCATCTGTCTTCATGCTCGCGGCCAAAGAGATCCGAGGTCTCTGTCGACAGCCTAGTTGATGAAACAGGAACCGATACACATACATTTATCTCAGCTCTCCATGAGAACTATGTTCTGTCTTGTGAATCGAATGCGTCCTTTCTGGACTATATGGGAGGATGCATTGACTACTTATCCGATAGTGATCTTCTATGCCCTTCTTGGGATGTATTTTTTGGTGGCCGCGGACCTGGCGGTAAGGGTTTCTTTGGTCACGATTCAGCTAGTCATGTGCTACGCCAAGAAGAAATCGCATTTCAAGTTGCCACACGCGGCTTGCTTTTTTCACTTCCTAACCCAGTCCAGCGGAAGGGAAGCGGCTCTAGGCGCGGTGGCGGCGATGCATTCAAGATGTTCTATCCTACAAGCCTTAAACTCTGGCGAGAGAAAGAGGAGCTAGAAGGCCTTGTTGATCACTGGTCTTCAGTTTTACTTAAGGGCGACAACTCCGACCATAATCTGACGAACGGCGCATCCGCCTTCCGCCGGGCCAAAACTGCCCCCACCAGTCAATGGCTTGCCAGTCAACACTCTCGGCAAAATGAAATTCAAGCTAGGCAGACAGCACAGACCTCAGATCACTCTACCGCCTTGCTCTCTCTGGGCAGTTCTGCCCGTCGCGAGATGATACTCGAAAGGTTACCATACATGTCCCATATCACCCGTCGACACAGATCATCGAGCTCTGTGCCCTGGTTAAAAGGTATCGAAAAAGTTGTGTCATTTTCAGGTATAAGTTCAATTGCAGATGAAGATACTGTTGACTTGGAGGAAAATGAAAACTCAGGCGGCGGGGCTGAAGAAGACTGGGCCACGGACAAACCTACCGAAGAATCGTCACCACGAAAGAAGAGCTTTGCCATACGACGTAATGGCCAAAATGGAGGCTCGGTGGCCGCTTCACAAGTGCAAAAGCTTGTACTGAGTGATGATGATATAGAAGATGACTGATACATGCTGATGGTGAGATCAACATGTCCTAGAGCGTGAGATGCCGGTATCAAAGCGGGCATAATATTATATGTCGATGACCGTAATGTATGGTTTGAGGCTTGCTTCACAATATCATGACTACAGATTTAATCGACCAGTGAGCGTATTGTCCATGAGAAAGATAGTTATGTTCAGGGAATTTATTTTCACGAAGTATTGGACACTTCCATACAGTATGTTCCAAGCCCATCCAGGTCCATTGAATAACATAAGTTAGCAGGTACCTTCAAATTCCTTAGACCTTCCCTCTTCATTCATTGTAGTTCGTTGACTCTTTGGATTAGTCACACTGTAAATCCCTACAGAAGCGAGTGTGCCAGTGTTGTAGTGATGCTACCTACAAGGGAACGGATTGGAAAATCCCGCCATGAGGCTCTCGTGCCGTATAGATCGTATTCCTCGCTTTCCTCCGAATGCGACGCTCTTGCTTAGTGCAGAAATGTGGCGCCTGCCACCCAATCAAAGGCTCAGCTAGCACAAGATTGAGCAGGGAAGACATGCACCACAGTGTTAGACGATGCCATCTGCTCGTTTGATATGGTCTTTGATCAATACCTGCTCTTGATTTCTCTCACCATGCAGTGTATGATCCTGTACACGTGCTTTCGACTATATGAATTACGCGAGCACGATTCCCTTGGAACATGAGGTGACTTATTAGCTCGGAGCTAGGGACAAGTCGTATATGCCGTATCGCATGCGAGGTTGCAGTACGTCTCAGATATTCCCAGAGCTTGATGCAGTCAATCTGTCGGATGTGCAATGGAAGGAGTGATCTGTAACAACAAGAGAAATCTCAGAGGAGGCTGCGATGAGACTAGGAGACGAGACCACGAGTCAAGCTTTCTCATTGACATCTTACCTGGATACGGTCAATTGGCTGCGCTCATCTCGTCAGGCTACATGAGTACCTCCATAGTCAGCTCACCTGTGCGGATTATACTCCGGATTTATCGTGATACTAAGCAGCAAGCTGATCCTCGCTCGCGCAGACTACTTAAGTCCGATCGTCCGTATATTGTGCACACGATCCCAGCCCAGATCACCTGCAACCAGTCGTTTATAAATGAAGCTATGACTTAATGGTGTACAATATGACTTGATTTGCTCCTCTTTTTTCACTCGACACCCTCAGGCGTTTTGGTGTTGCATGTTTAAGTTCTTACTCATCGTCATTCTCGTTTACCGTATGCTACTCGAAGTCGACCCTGTATCAGCAACATCTGCCACAATATATCTACGCAGCCATACACCCCAACCTAAGAAGGATAGAAGCAGTATAACCTCGGACGCTTTACATTACTATACTTAAGTTATGACAGCTCATGCTTACAATTCGCCCCGATATCCCAAATATGAGTCCTAAACCTTTAACAAGCAACAATCAAAGCCCAAATTTCACAAACAGTGTCGACCCACACATAGACGAAATGTCGGACCTGATCTTTAGTTTCGATAATGATATTGATTTGGAGCATGGCATGATAAACTTGAGCCTCCAACAATCCCAAGATATTATCTCTTTACGTTCTTCACCGCCGTCATCCCTCGCGTCCCAGTCGGGGTACGCCACGATATCCTACCAGGGACACAGCCCTAGGATAGAACACCCTCCTACCGAGTTATACAAGCCAGACGCATCAAAACAGGAGCAAATAATAGACATCAATCAAAGGAGACAAGCAAGGCCACTATCACCGAATACGTCCTCAGTATGCTCGTTGTCACTGCAGGAACTTTGCAAACAAAGCAATACGCAACAGCTGTCATCATCACATCTACTCGCATCACAGCAATACCCTCACTCTCCTACGCCTGAACCAACAACGCCTCGAACAAAGAGGTTCCAGAGCAATATGCTGTCTATGCTCTCGCTGCTTCCGCCAGGCCGGTATCTATCGCCTTCTCCCAGCGTCGAAGAGCATCAGTTTGAAGACGAAGGGGATGTCAGAGAATACGATGGGGCCACCCGCTCTCCTAGTTCGCCTATATATGCTTCTGCGACCTTCGACCCTTCGAATATCTCCTCTTCATGTTCTTCTTACTTGTTTCTAGAATCTTCTGAAGATTTGAAGCGAGTTTGAGAAAGGGGATGACGCGGTTAGACTAGGAAATGGTTTGATCAGGTCTGTATGCGATGGTTGACTGCCATCGTTCAGTGCGTCTTTATAACCATTGCTATAAGGGCGTGTGGTACGTATGCGGCCAATCAAGACTGATCTTTTCAATCAATGGCGCTCAGCATACTATGAATCATCCGTATACTATGGCAGACCAGTTATTGAGTGTTTGCAGTCTCGAGACTTTGTTGCAAGCCCAGTGTTGATCTGAGAAATGGCTCAACCCATCCGAATTGAGCGGATTCAGTCCCGACCATAGCTCGCTGTCTAGAAACAGGGGACTGTGGCACGATTCAAACCATTGGCTGAAAGGGGGCGATTTATGTATTCACCCATGAAGGTTTCGTTGGGTTGACAAGTCTTCATCGGAGAATGTAGAGCTTCAACTATCGCATACATCCCAGATCGCGATCACATTTCAGCGATGGGCCGTGCTACGTGGATATCTGGCAAACGCTGCTAAGTGTCTTCTTGCAAGAAAGTAGTAATAGGATAGGGGGTATCTGAAAGATCGAGGGCCTGCACCATTCAGTCGCTATTTCATACAAAGAGTTGCCTACCCACCCAGACAATTCATTACATCCCCAGGAAACCTACTGGCTTATATCGAGTTTCCCAAGAGCTCATCAAGAGGGAGTGCTATTTATCTATGGTGTAGCCGGCTCGCGACACTAATAGAGCGCAAACCCCCAAAAGACCCCATTATCCCAATCACTATCCAAACAATACAACCTCTTTTCATGAACCTTCAGAGGCATCGTCTGCTGTACTTTCGTCCAGAAAGTACCCGTCCTACCAGCTCTACAGAATGTTATCCTCTACAGGAGATATTTAAATGCTTGTCACTATCGGATCGCCGACGATGAACATACCAAACACAGCTCAACTCAGTGCTGAAGACCGCAAGTTCAACGTGGGAGTAAAAGGCGTCGCACGCACGCACTCTTCATTCGACGTTTCTATTTGGTGATGCCCACATATTCATCGCCGTCGGTAGATGCGCAACCCACAAGGGAGCTCAGCCTTATTCAGGGCGCGACTATTCTATGAGGAGTTTAGTAAGGGGCGTTCTTTGGCGCTGTGTACAGGCTACCTAACACGCAAGAACTTTGTCTCACCAAGCCAGCTTCGTGTGACTAGAAATAGTCCAAGATCGCGTCTCATCCTTCATCTATCATTCTAGCGAGAGCCTAGTCTGCGCTGAAGATGCCTAGAAACGCAATTCTTGCTGCGGATACGATGACCGGGCCATTACCAATTGCACTACTGTGATAGCAATCCTCACTTGCCCGTGTTGCGGCTCACAAGTGAATTGAGAGGGGTAGCTTTATGTGTGGAGTTATATTATTGGAATCAGGAAGGCAGTACTATTTCAACTTATATATAGCGCTTGACAGCCTTAAAAAACAAGTCAACTTCACAACTAAAACTAAGGGGACTGTCCTAATACGCGAACGACGGACGATTGAATCCGGGTATTCTATCAGTACTGACACCCATCCCTCCTTGTCTCTATTGCCTTCACCAAACTTTCATTGATTCGACTATACGAATCGCCCACATCCCAATCAGGTCCAAACGCGATCCCTTGCGCACAGTAATTTCCCGATATAGGACATCGGCATCTCCACATCCAAGGGACACTAAAACGGATGATTCGGCAACGCCAGCTTTGCACTTCATGGTTTGTTTCGTTGAGAGTTGGGTAGAGAAGCGAATGGGTGTGTTATAACAAGATAAAATAGGTGTTTACGTAGTTAATTATTTCTTATACTTTGTTTGACAGTATTTATTAATAAAATAGTCTCTATCCGTCCCTGCTGTAAACCGTTATCCCTTAAGTGAAAACATGGGCGACCCTGATGAAAACCTCCAGCAACGGGCCTGCCTTGCCGTCGATGCCGAGTTCCGCCTTGTGCTGCGAGGCCATCAACACCAATGGTCACTATTCGTCGACCTCACGCCGGGACTGGGCGCTTGTTTCCTGGGTAGGTACGTGCTATAATCGGTTGTGTCGGCGCCCTTAAATCACACGAGCTGCGGCAAGGGCGAAGAAAGAAGATAACAAAACAAAAATAAAGACACCATAATAGAGACGACCTTTGTTGGTTAAAAAGCACTCCACCTGGTCATGGGTCAGCAGCTTCATCGCAAGTTCTTTATCTAGATTCACACCAAGAGCGCAATAGGGACCTCGACATTTCTAGATTTCAGAACCGAGAACCCAGACGATACGAGGAAAATACAGGGCCAATAACTGGACCATGTGTCAGCAGCACGACTTCTTCTACATGTGCGGCTGTCGCGTCGTCGACGCGACGACCAAGAAATGGCTCTTCGAAATCGAGCAGTGCAAGAAGGCCCAGCGATGGCGAAGGAATTGCGAGAAGATCCAGATGGGCCTGCCGCGGTGGAAGAAAGATACATATTGCGACGATCTCGATTGTCCAGCCTATGACTCGTGACTAGAAGTATAAGGAGGCGACGTTGTGGTCGTCGCGCTCACTCAGGACTAGTACGAATTACTCCTGCGACTTCTGCTTCGAATGCATATCTGTGTTTGAAATCATACTGACGGGTGTTCAGGTCGTCGTAAAGGAGGGGATTATACGAGTCTTAGGCTACAACAAGACGCAACGGCCTCTGTATTCAAATGACGTCTTGTTCGCCTTGAGCAGAGGCATGGAATTAGGGAAGAACAGGATGTTGCAACGCATGATGGTGCATTTGACGGGCGGAAAGGAAGGAATAGGAAGTCCTAGGAGTGAAGATAGCGCTAGCATTCATGCGCGTGTAGGAATAGGCAAGGTGTTCGTGTTTGGTTATACTTGGATTCAAAAGGGCATGAATTTTTCCCATTGACTCTAAGACACTGCTACTCTTATTATTACTATATCATGAAAGCGGAGCTGATTCGAGTGTGGCCGAACATTATCAACATCACAGCATCTTTTAAGAAATGGGGGTTACATAATCTCTTGAACGCCATCCTCTCACCCAGTTAGACAGATAAATGTTTTACCCACGCAAATATAATGTAGGTTCTTGATATTGTCGCCCTTCATAGGCCACCTACTAGATCATACATCGGTACTGGTGCACCTCCTAATCTTCTCACCGGTGCAGGTTCTAGATCGCATTGTCGACTCTCGGTTCGTCTCCCGGTAGAGTGCAGCCGTATTATCCAGCCAATCTAGGCCAGTCACCGCGAAGTGTTCACCCACATTGCTTCCCAAAGTATCTGGGCTATGGCCGGGGTATGAGATAAATAAGTTGCCGTCGCCCATAATACAAACACCAAAGAGCTCTCCTGGCCATCTTCAAAGACACAACTTTATGTTCTTGTCTCTGCCAAGATGAAGGTCTCGATGAAGTCAATTGCTGCTGCAGCATTCATGCTGTACTCTCGTGTTGCAACCGCGGCAGCCCCGAATGTGACCGCTGTCTCTATTGGCACGGTATGCACCTCGTTCCCAGGGTATCCAGGGTTTGGTGGTAGTGGTGCTGGACCGTTCATCGGTATCGCAGCGTCGACCGGACAGGCGATAGACGGTATTGGACTAAATGTTGCCTATTATATGGATGAAACCCGTCGTTACGGATATGTGAGCGCAGGCTCTTTATTTGAGAACACTGCATTGTCGGCCGAGCTACTCACAGGCCCTTAGGTCGCCGCGTGGACCTCATTCCCCATGTCCAACATTCCGTTGCGTTGCTTCAACCAGACGTTGGAAGCTCAGCTAAAGATAGGGCCTGATAGTGAGGAGATATGGCAACCGCTGGTTATCTCTGGTGACCCAGCCCTCAAGGGCGCACTTGGGTTCGGCTTTCCAGAAGACAAGTACCCAAATATACCAGTCGAGGCGTATTGGCATTTCGTCAATGGGGAACAAGTTCCAGGCGTCTTCTTAGGCGCGAAAGACTCTACCACATTTGGCTTTGTCTACAATCAGGCTGGCCTTCTTGGCAGTGCTGGGGAATATTATGTTTTGAGACTCCTCGGCACAGAAGGCTTCACCAAGTGGGAGCTTACGGTAAGGGATACCGTCGGTTTCTTGCAGGTTACTTATGATTGATGGTTCCAGAGGCGGAGTCACTGACGACAGGAACACTACTTTGGCCGGAGCGGTCGTTACAAGAACAGATAGCACTGAATTGCAACATAGTATCGTCCACGTAAGACCGTTCAAATCATATATGAGAAATTGTGAGTGGGTATCAATAACAGCAACGATTACTTGGCCTTGACCTTTCGAATAACAACTTTGCTTCCATCTAACTCCCAGCCTACGCCATCTTCCGCAGTGAGCTGGGGCCAAGACGAATCAGCAGATGTCTCCAGGAAAGATAAATCTACGCTAAGGTATGTCCTGCTGAAACATTTCAATAGGTGTTTCCGTACAGACTCTTCAGCATACTCGAGCAACTTGGCTCGATGTCCATCTACTCTCTGGCGTAAGCGTTTGAACTCGACATAGTTGTCGTGCGTTAATGCGTCCAGGATAGCATTGACCTTGGAATCCTTTAACTGGTACCGGTGTCGAAGGGCAAATGCTTCCCCTAAATCGTTTCGCCTACATGCCGTATCTAGCACAAGATAGGAGACCACTTCGTTTAGTTCGACCGTGGTCATTCTGTGAACCGGATGTATCCGGCGCAATAGGTGCAGTATGGCGGGGTGGTAGGATTCGTGGTGTTTGACCAAGATAGATAACCGGATGCAGAATATGTAGGCTTGGATGGCGAAGTCATCGGTACGTTTAGAGGCCACAATACCCTCACGCAGCTTCCTAAGCGCCTGGAGAACATCGGATAGGGCTTTTGAATCATCCTGTTTGGAAACTGGAGGCTTCTTGTTCTTTGGTGCTGACCGACTTGGATTGTCGCCAACTGGTTGGAGGCTAAGTGAGGCGAAGCGGCGCAGGAGCTCGTCACGCTCGCCAGCGTCGGAGCAGAAACTCATGTAGCGATCGACGATCTTGGTGTAGTAGCTTTCCTGGGTTTTCAGGTCAAGTAGTCTGTGGTAGCGTCAGATCCGTGCCATGGCTGATAAAGGCCGAAATAGGCATACCTGTTGTCTCCTTTCGAGGGCAATCCCATCGATTCGAGAGGATCGAGTTCAACTGGCTTCAGTCTGCTACTCCATGGCGTAGAAGGTGCTCTACCTCCTTGACCTCCTCGGCCTCCTCCACGTCCACGCATTGTCAGGTCATGTCAATTACAAAGCGAGGAAACTGACGAAACAAGTGGTTACGGAATAGATGGTGAGTACTACAGTAATACCTACTGGTGATGGGCGACGAGGAACCCCACGTTGGATATCGGTATGTTAAGCAACTAGTACCCGACTGCAGGTGCCCGCATTAATTCCGAGATTATGAATATTACTACTAAATGCATATTACATAAGGCCGATATAATTATACAGGATGGATCTATCTACCGAGCCTACCTACCTATCTGCTACCTACTAGACTAAGTAAGGTATGGAGGTGCCTCGGGTGCTTGCTCCTGAAAGGACATGGGGAGAATGAATAGATTCCCATCCCAATCCGCCGCTCGCCTTTGGCTCATGAGCCTCGCTATCAGAGGTATTTTGATAACTGATAGATCTATCAATTAAGCAACTAGGATACTTACCTACCAGTCAAATACCTAGAACATGTACGAGCCCTACCAGGTTAACAGGTGGGTGGTATGTTAGCTTGTCTAATCGATCATCACTTAGAAATAAAGTAAATGCGTTGACATCACAGGAGTCCGGAAGGAGGCCGCACGTGTTATGACCTAATACAGGCAGACAGATCCCGTCGTCTACTGTATGAGTAAGTATGTAATTCATCATTATCGGTGTGCATAGCGGACGCTTTCCGAGAAATCCATCCCGATGCAATGAGGTAGGGATCACAAAAGTAGCAAACCACACCATCCCCACTGCTCTAGTTTGCTGCGGCAGCAATATGGAGTCCCTATTCACGACAAAAGGATGAGGATTGGCGGGGGCGCCAAGCTCAAGGGGATTTTGCACAATCAAATTTCCGCAGGGGTCCCCCCCTTATTTCCCAAGTTTTTATGCCATAACAGGCAGCGTGTGACGTCGTTTTCCCGCTCTGCGATAGTGCCAACGAGATCGCCGGCGCGCGCGTATGCGAGGGAAATTGCCCATCTTCATTTTCTGCAGAGTCTTTCCCCCCCCCATACTTACTTACATATGCGCTATGTTTCAGACCAAGACCCGGGACTAACGCCAAAATTGGCCAAAGTCTCTGGGGGTCCGGCGATGATCCTGCTAAACGACCCTGACAATCTTTTCCCGTTGTATGATCAGATGGTGATTTAGATGGTCCGTCTAACTGGGTAGTGGATTTACGTACAGCTGGGAAATGGGAGCGATATACTTAAAATGGAGAAATCCTTCTCAAAAATGCATGCCTACCTGTTTCGATTCTCTCTTTCAATACATGTAGTCTTTGTAGACTCACTCTTCATTCGTTCCTTACCGTGAAAACTACTTTGAGGGCATACAGAACAGCGAGCTGGCCTTCGTTCCATTCCTTACATCAGATATTGATATACCACGCTCCTTTAAACAAGCAAAACAACCGAAATATCCCGATAATATCTACTCAGAGAGCAAGCATCCATTCTTATTATACTACGGGAATTAGAGCAAGGAAGTCGAGAGAATGCCTTCCATGCAAACCACCATTGTCCTGGGTGCCACCCTTCTGGGTTCGCTCATCCAGCATGTTGCCGCCGCCCCAGAGGCCAGCAGCAAGCGTGCCGCCATCCAGTTCCCGGACTGTATCTCGACCTGCATGCGCAATTCGGGTTGCTTCGATGCCGACTGCATTTGTGACAAGGCGGGTAGCGGGATTCTGTCCGACATCGTCATCTGTATGAACCAGTGGTGCCCGGCTGACGTGACGGCCACGGACCTCATTGAGCCTCTGGAGGGCAAGTGCGATCTGCCCAAGACCGCTGTGCAGGACGCCGAGAAGAAGGGTGGCGTTGCCAACGATGCTGGTGGTGACGAGGAGGAGACTCCGTCTACCACGTCTGCCAAACCCACGGCTACTTCCAGCAAGAAGGGCAACGATGACGAAGATGACTCGCCTAGCAAGTCTACACCTACTGCTGGCAGCAAAGGCGGCGACGATAAGGAGGATGTTACTGCAACCTTTGATCTTGGCTCGCCCCAAACCAACGCAGTCCCTGCAACGACAGTGACGCCTGCTGTTTCCGGCACGCTGACTGTTGCCGCCGCTACATCCACTGCCGCCGGCGCAGACGGTCTATTGACTGATGATGATGCCAAACCAACTGGTGCTGGCTCATTTGGTGCCGCTACAAGCATTTCTGTAACACCTTCATCTACTGCTGCCAAGAGCGAATCTACTGGTTCTGCGGATGACGAGGATAACGCTGCACGCCTTTCCGGTCAGGCCTCCATCTTCGGTGTTGTTGCTGCCATGGGTGCGGCGCTAGCTCTTGGCTTCTAGGCAGATCAACAGGCTGTTTTCTACAGGACAACCTCGAGATGGATGGGGGCGAAGCTGTCAAGAGTGAATCAATTAGTCGGCCACTTGACTTGGGAAGGCAATAGCCTAACTACAATCTAATATCCCGCTGTATATACTCTTCAAGTTTCCCAAGCATAACATTTGCTGTTAGCATAGCGTTCAAGATACCAAAATATTATAGTAATTGGTTGGAGCCTGAGAGCACGTTTCAATAGTCAGTCTCCCTGTGAACTTGGTCAAGAGTCAAATTCCAACTTGTAAAAAGCAGGTTAACGCCTGGCTTTTAGAGTGCATTGGCAAGCTATATATTTCGGAGATGAGACCTGCGAACCTATCTAACTGGGCATCGATGTCATTCCAAACAAGCTTGTAAATGTCCAGCACAAGACCGTTCAGCAGATGCTATTCTTAGCGTGCATATCGTCCGAGTAATAGTACATGGGCTTACATTACCTTGTTCATATCTTCCACAAGTAGTGATTAGATTAAGACCCAGTCAGTCAGTCGAATAACTGCCCTGAAATGGCGGGGCTGGTGATAGCATTTTCACAAGCTTGCTCCGATACCAGTGCTCAAGCTCGGATTTAGGGGTCGTCGTGGGTGGATGTATAAAATCCTCTTCAAGGAATGCCCGTGCAACGTCCTCAGCTTCTTCAAGTTTCTGAGTCTCTGTATCTGATAGTTTTGAACATACGACTTCTAAGTCTTCATGGCGGACCATTTGAAGTATGATTGACTCGGCCCTCTCCACGATGGCTTGGCCGACACCGTTCATTGCAGCACAGCGACTACCAAAGCTAGAAATGCTTCTGCCCAGTGCAAACTGATATAAATAGGTTACTTGATCTTCTACTGTTGAAGAATCAAGATCTATGTGGATCTTCATATGAGCAAAAGCCAGTTCTGCACATTCTATGAGAAATTCGCTGTTAAGGATCTCATGGAAGTGAGTCGCAACTAGAAGTTTTGGTCGTTCGTTGCCCAGTCCAGTGAAATGACTGATAGCAGCGGTCATCAAGCCCGCGCCATCTTGGCTGTTTGTCCCTTTCCCAAATTCATCGATGATAATTAGGCTACGTCGAGTTGCGAAGTTGATCGCAAAAGCTACTTGGCGTAGATCAATGGCGAAGGCGCTCTCTGAGCGAGCTACACTTTCGCGTGTTGAAATGCGTGTCAAGATACGATCCGTTATCCCTATTTGAGCATGCTCGGCTGGTACGAAACACCCAATGTGCGCAAGATAGACAATAGTCGCAATCTGTTTAAGATAGACACTTTTCCCTGAATGGTTAGGGCCTGTAATAATGACCGTGCTTGGAGAATCTGGGGGCTTATCAATAGCGACCGAAGGAGATGCGTCCGCATTTTCATGCATGTCGTTTCCTATTCCTCCAGCTATGGAGCAATCGTTGGGAATAAATGATGGTGTGACTAATTCTTGTAGGGGATGACGGCCGCCTTGGATATCGATGATATTTGCAGTGGTCATTTGAGGTGCTGTCCACTCATTCTGGCCGCAAAGAGTGGCCAAAGCGACCAGACTATCGAGTTCACCGAGTACTTCAGACGCCTCTATTATTGCCGTTTCCCGATCGAGAACGGTAACTGCAAGCTGATGAATTATTTCAATCTCTCTATCTACCAGATATGAGCAAAGGCCACAAGTTACGGTAGGGAGGGAGATTACGTACCAATGATCATGCAGTACAGATCTCCAAGTTCTTCATCTAGTTCCTTCATTTGCTGGTTTTTGTAGTAGGCACTACCATCAGCAATGAACATACACATCCAAGTCTCGTTCAATCCTTCGCCGTCGTAGTTGCCTTTGCCGGTCTGCGGGTTTATTGATACGACCGTCAGGAATCCTAGCTGTGGAAAGAATATGCAGTTTTTTACATATTTCCTGGCCCATTCTGGAACAGTGCTCTGTAGCTTGGTAATCACGGTAGCAAGGAAGCTTTCCATGCCATCATAGGCTCTTTTGCGTTCATCCAAATCAGCGTCGATTCCTTGCTTTACAGCTATCCTCCCGCGATCTACAGACTGTTCAGGGTCAATCGTTTCGGTAATGAGCTCCCCGACTTGACGAATTTGAATCGGATCGATAATCTGAATGACCTGGAGGCTTGCAGGTCAGATCTATGTCATATGTAAGTATCTCGCTCGTTAATGTACCTTCTGGATTATATCGACACTCTTGGCATCTGGTAGGACTCGCAGTGATTCTCTCAGCTGTAAGCTATAGGCGGCGAATTTTTGAAGCATGGCCCAAACACTGTTCGCTACAGTTATCTTTCGACCAACACTATCAATACCTTTTCTTAGTAACATCACGACAGATTTCATATCTTTGATCTTCCTGAGATCTTTACTGATGCTATATAGTGTATCAGCGTTGCCAGGGCGAAGGAAGAACGAAATTGTCCACTGTCTCTCGCGAATGAGGTCGATGTCGATGCTTGGTTGTAAGAACATTCGACGAAGTTTCAATTTTCCCTGTGGTGTGACGGCTAGATGGGAAAAGAGGCCATAAACGGAGAGGCTCTCTTTAGCACCTGACGTAGCACCTGTTGGACCTCGTTGATGACTGTTGGGATGATACTCTGATTGCATAATTTGCAAGGAGACAAGTGTGTCTGCGTTGACAAACATGGAATTGAACAATGAAAACATTTGCACAGACCGAACCCCGAAAGCGGCCAGAGCATCAGGATCGTGGGGGAGATATTGAATCGTCCTTCTACGTTGGATATCACTCAACACCGCACCTGCACAGCCTATCTAGGGCAAGTCAGCTATGATATAACAGTTTACGGCTTTCTGGAAATGTCTTACAGACAGTGGGCTATCAAGATTAATGAGTGTAGCCAGTCGCATGAGTTGCCCTTGCCTAGATCCCCGGTCTTGATCCTCGAGCACATTATTGTCGACAACAGTTGCATATACCATGCTCTGTGAGCCGCCCATCTCGATATGGAGGTCTGCCAGTTTATTTTTGCCTACCTCATAACGGAAGTCTGTCGAATTCAGGGTTCTTAGAATATAAGCACCGGGCAATTCTACGCTAGTTTAATATGCAGATTATTCGCAAGTTTCAAAGACGAATCTCACCTTGGTTACCATTGACATCTTGTGAGCCTCTGGCGAGGAGTTGTGCTAGAGGCTCGGGTGTTCGTGAGGATATGAGCATCGTCGTAGGTTGTGCATGGAGAAGAAGGGTCTCGACAAGATCAATCCCAGCCATTTGTACATCTTCGAGCAGGTACAAAGCCTCTTCTAGAACTGAATAGTACGCACAGCCAATTGTAGATCCCCGAGGTCCACGATCCTTCATATCAACCGCCATGATGATTTCATTCAATACATCAATACCCTCTCCCGATATATTGTCACTGTCCTCTTGCCATTCGCCCCCGAACTTATGATTTGCACTCGAAGTTGGCCCAGGAGCGGAACGTAACGAGATTCCATGTCTGGGAGCACATGCTGGCAGTGGAGGCGAAGACTGGTAAGCGGGCGTAATGGAACGTGAGCTGGTGATGCTTGTAGCCTTTGGCCGTTTGCTAAGCGAGTGTGGTCGCTGTGAGCCTTGATTGTTTTGGGGGATGAGCGAGGAGAAGGTTGGACGATCTACGGGATAAGGCGTTTGTGATCGTGATGATATCGGTCTTGTGATTCGCCCAGGGGGAGCGAATATTGCAGGCGATGGCTTAGGGGAATTTGGAGGGTTTTGAGGATATGATGCCATTTTCCATCGACGTCTATGACTTCTGGTGCCTCTTAAACTGAGCCTCGATGTTATCTAGACTGGCTGCGACTGGCACAAGACTAAGCTACGTAATTGATGATTTTAATAAGTGCGAGTTTTAAAAGCGCTCGAGCTTGGTAGTAACGCATTCAAGATCTGGGCAAAGCTCCTGAGGTCATCTCGAACTACCACCTAAGAGACAAGAAAAAAGTAGGGAGGAAGTGAGCCCATGAACATCGAATGTACCAACGAATGTTCTACCAAAGTAAGTGCTTCCCTTTGATCCGGCCACCTCAGGTAGGTACCTGCACTGTGATTGCAAGCGAGGCGGCAGGAGCTCACTCGGCAGAAAAAGAAGGAGCATAAGACTCGAGCAAGAACTGCTAGCAAAGAAGTAGTAGGCAAGGCAACTACGTGCAACCATGTGCAATAATTAGCCCGTGGCTTCCATAACGTGAGTGGCCGTCTTTTTTTCTGAGATACCACTGCACGATGTTCTGAGGTAGGAGCATGTAGTTTATACCTAGTTCTCGCATAAGGGATGCCGATAGCGTTTATCGTAAAATTAAGATGCCTGAAAAACGACTACAAAACCATCCGCGTTGGCCATTGGTGGTGGTGAGTTGAAACTAGCTTCCCATGAGAAGGCCCTGAACGGTTGTATTTGCTACCTGTGTAGATAAATGGATTCCCCCCAGTATGTGGTCGTCATTGCTATTACGTCTCGGCTGCTTTATCTTTCACCCAAGTCGCAAACTCGCTCCTTTGCTTCCGAATGTCGATGAATCCCGGACGACTTTCCAAAAGGCGAAAAGGGTTTCCAACATAATCTTTCTCGACCTCTCCACTGTTATTCTTGAATCCCGCTTCCCCCTCCCGCTCAATCTTCCCGGCCCAAACTCGCCATTGTATAGGTCGTAGTTGGTTGGTCCCGAATACCAGCCCCAGGCAGATGGTGAAAGTTGCGACGATGGTCTCGATCGTGATGTCAATGGGAAGTGAGGAGGCGGTACCCAGTTGAGCCGAGGCTAAAGACGAAAGAGATGCAGCTCGATGTGACTGGAGGGCAGAGTGTTCATGCGCCGAGTAGCAGCTGGACATAAGACGGGTTAGCAGCCGAAGCTTTCTATCTGCGTTGTCGAGCGTGAAAAAAAACTGTACATACGCATGGGTTAACAGTACGAGCCCGAGAGCCGTAGTGCTCTTGGATATCAACGTCATTTTGTAGTTGATTTCGCATACAGTATTTAGTTAGGGGTAGCTTGGGGCGTTTTACAAGAGCTGTTGAGGCGCGGTCATGACGACTTGACGACCAGGCCACACCTACCGGTACCTACCCCAGTAGCATTCGCACGAATTTACTCATGCTTGCTTAAATGCATCGCCTATTCCTCTTAAATGGTTGTAGTGGATAATGGGGAGCTACGGGTGCATTATCGGTCAATTTAAAATTATGCAGCCATCGGGCTTCTAGTACTGGCCTTGTCTGGCCTTGTGGGCAAAGGACAGGTTTTAATTGGCTGATTCGAGCGGGATTTAAGCAAAGCTTACCGTCATCGGAGTCCACCTCTCACATGGAAACTTGGCACCCCTCTCGAAACCCCCGCAACAACAAAAAGTTTAGCTCTTAAAGCTAAGGAGGGGCACACTCTGGGGACTCCCCACCGTTCAATCCTCTCACCACCAAACGTTCCTCACTAGTCCATCGTCGGTCCACTCGAACTATTCTGTTTGAGGCTTCAGTCTAGATAGATTATATCATCGTCATTGTCCTCTGCAATCTGCAAAACTACTACGATCAACTACGGTCCCGTCATCCAACGGGCACGCATCCACAAATTCCATCGCTCGTTGATTCCAAGCCCACGGAATCACAATTCCAAACTATTCGCATTCCCAGTTCCAAGTCCTCGGGACACTAATAACTCTCCACCATGCCTCGTGTAAGTAGCCACAAGCTTAATTGACGCCTAGCCGTATCTGGATACTTACAACTCGCTGCGTGTAGGTCAAGTACGTGCTTCTTGACTGCGACAACACCCTCTGCTTGTCAGAGAAGATTGCCTTCGGACAATGTACCCTCGTGGTTAACGAGGTCCTCGAGAAATTCGGGGTGGCCGAACGCTACACTCCTGAGACGCTGCTTGATACATGTGTCGGCCAGAACTTCCTGACCATGATGGAAACAATGCAGAAAAGACATGGATTCACTATGTCTCCCGAGGATGTGAAAGCCTACGCTGACAAGGAGGTCGAAAAGGTCACCGAGAAGCTGAGCGAAGAGTGCACTGTAATCCCGGGAGTACCCGAGCAGCTAGAGTCCCTCAAGCAGCAGGGCTACCCCATGTCCGTGGTCAGCACCTCTGCTAAGCCCCGTGTCGTCGCCTCTCTGAAGAAGTGTGGTATTTACAATTACTTCCCCGATGAACACGTCTACAGTGCTGCTACTAGCTTGCCCGAGCCCAAAGGCAAGCCCGATCCTGCTGTCTACAACTTCGCATGCCAGCAGCTAGGAGTGAAGAACTCCGAGTGTGTCACCGTTGAGGACAGTGGGAGCGGTGCTACTGCTGCCATGAATGCGGGCATCCCTTGCATCGGCTTCGTCGGTGTCTATGGCATCGAAGAGGGACCGGAGAAGGTTGCAGAGATGGAGAAGAAGATGAGAGAGAAGTGCAATGTCAAGGTCATCATGTACAACTGGAGCGAATTCCCCGAATGCTTGAAGAAGATCGAGGAGGGCTTGTAAGTCGTCTGCCAACACTGGTACCTGTAAGGCCTTTGACCTTGACTGGTACCACGAGCGGGACTGCAATAACGAGTGATGAATATTAGGATTGACGAAGCCCCTCTTCCAGTTAGACTCTAGTTCCCATGGCCTACGGTTAACCTAGCATACTAGAGACGAAGTTAGATGGTTACAAAGCTGAATTAATCAGTTATAGAGAACGTCTAGACAAAAAATAAGAACTGATTTTCCAGGCATACGCTTTGGAGGCATGCATGGCATCGATTCCGATTCTCTGTGCAATGCTCAAGATTGAAGCGAATCGTCACGCCGTGTGCGCCCTCTTCCTCATGTGACTACTTGTAAACTGCGGTATTAATTGAACGCAAAACTATGTGATCCGACCTGCAGGACGTGTGCTTACATGTACCATAGAGATCAGTCCCTGGACCCTAAGATCCAATTAGACCCTGGCGATACCTTGAAATCTGCAATACTCGGCAGCTTGCAAAAGTATGTGTATTCCTTCATGTGCAAATTGAACCGTACGTCTATCTAGCTTAAGAACTACCGTAAATATTCTGCCTGATACAAGGAAACTAGGCTGCTGTATCTTCAGCATTAACTTCCCGTATCTACGGTTCTGGGATTATCAAGGTTTGGAGGAGCCGGTTAATGCCTGGGCTTTTAAGTATACTAGATACTTTTCCTCCAGTGAGTGAAAAGCGCGCGGATTGAGATTCAGAAGCCAACCCGACCCCGACCACGTGCTCATATTGGTAGAAAAAGGCGCAAGGTGAAGCACGGGCATGCCGAAACGAGGAGGTGTGCAGCTACATACCGAAGTGGCAGCAAAGCAAATCTGGCTGCTGCATTTCTAACTGTTTGAACCTTGCGCATCTCACTCACTAGGTAGTATATCTACTATAAGATGCCATACCTGATATCCGTGGAATTATGTAACTTGCCAAGCCCTTGAGAAGATGAAGTTGAGACGATCATATGAGAGAAGCACATTATAAAGAACCGACGAAACGTGACCTTTGAATATGCCATCCGATGTTGCTCTGATGGAAGTTTGTACTCGGGCCAGGATCAATATCCTTTGAGGATGCTTAGGTAACTTTTGCCTCCGATCTCGTATAGGTATTTATGGCTACATATGTAGGCAGCCAGGAGATAACTATAATCGACGAGTTTACTACCCATTTAGCTGGGAATACCTTCTTGCTAGCTACTCCTGCAGCACCAGGTCGTTCGAGGTGTAACAGAAAGTTACTCGATGGGCAAATTCATTGATAATAGGTTAGGATGGTATGGTTGCCACATGGCGGCGGATCGAAAGTATGACTAACTAGAGCAATTCGATTGGACGGCTCGCCGCGCTCCGCACGGAACTCGTATTCACGTTGATCCATCTCCAACGACGACGTGTGCACTTACCCTCACCGGAGGAAAGGGGGGGGGGGGGGGGGGGGGGGGGCCGAAACCGTGGGTTTGGGGGGCGCAGCGCGTGGCAAAACAAGGGGGTGGGGGTTAATAAAAACGGGGGGGCCGGCCAAAGGTAGGGGAAAA